GGAAAGAAATGGACATGTTGAAAATTATCGGACGTAAACAACGAGGAACACGGGATCGCGCCTGCCGAGGTATAAACATCGCCGAGGTCACACATTGATGAGGAACGCGGTCGTTAGTATTTTTGCTAGCTCGAAGCACGAGCATGAGAAAAAATATGTCGGTGTATATCGAGAAAGAGACTGCCGCAGCAGTGATTCGTTAATTTTTTTTTAAATTGACACTGCGCATAAATATTATGCACAAAATATCAGATTAATATTCATATAAAGTGTTGCAAAAAAGCCAGCTTCAGTACAATCAGTATGGTTTTTCACTCGTCAAATATACTATATATCTTATCGATTATCATTCTCAAGGTTCCGCGTATAATTTTTCGCAGAATAAATATTTCCGCAATGATCAGAGAGGAAGCAAACAACAGTGCTTCTCGCAATTCATATTTTTATTAGACTACATATGAACGCATATTATCGCGCACTATTTTTTATTATCTCTGGCCGAAAACCAATGCGATTTATATATGAGCATACATTGTAAAATATGACGTTTTCTGAGCGTTTGATTTGCACACTCACCGACATTCGTTGACTCCTGTGACTCTGCATCCGCCCAATGTCCAGTCCCTCAGCATCCAGGACGAGTTCCTTTTTTCACAATATTTTGTCGCTTTTTTCTCTTTGTTTATCTCTTTTCTTTCATTAATTTCGATACGATTTAAGGAAAAAGAATGGCGAGACAAAGAAACATATATGGTCGCGTTCAAGAGATGAGATTTTTATCCCAAAAAGAAGTAATTCGATATTGCAACGTTCCGAGAATGTATACGTGAGACGCGATTCGCGTAGAATCAATCGCGAATGAAAATTACGACGTTTAGACAAGAGAGAAAAAACGAAATGTTTTGTTTCGCGAACGGTAATTCGAAAGAAACGCACGTCCTATTTCGTAAGAACCAAGTTGTAATGTAAATAAACGCGCGTACCGAATTTATCGGTCATTTCAAATGAAATATCGTTTCTGACACGCGTAAAAAATGTAGAATGTACGCGTAGAAAATTGATAAACTCACCAGACATGAAATTTATCAAGCCAAATAAGATAAATAATGGTGAATTTCACGTGCGATAGCGCAATTCTGATCAAATTTTAACATTACACATTACTCGAAGCAGGAGTTATATTGATTGAATCGCAGCAAATAATTCCGTATCTTGATTTCAATATAATAACAAACTAAAGCATTTATATCTGTATCTTCTAATGATTCAGAGTAAATATAAAAGAGAGAAATATATATTATATCTTAAAGATTCTGTTGTGTAATACGGTCATTGAAAGACACGATCTCCTGATTATTTCGAGCAACGTGTGAAAAAAGTATAATTAAATCGCATTGATTTTCTCGAGATATTGCAAATACCCATCACCATAAAAGTGTCGTTTCTTCTCTGACTCACCGATACACAGCAGACAGAGTCAGCCGCGTTCTGCTGCGGATCTGTAACATAAAATATAATTTCGTTAGTTAAACCGTTAGGTTAAAAGTTAGGTTAGGTTGAGTTCAGTTCGCGGAAGCGCGCGCGCGCAGTTACAAATGTTGATCCTTTGTCTTCGTAATTCAACGGCTTTTATTCCAATCACTCGGTTTTCGATCGCAATGAATCAAGAAGAAATGTACAAATGATCAGTGAACCTCACCTTCAAGCCGACTCTGCTCGGCCCGAACCGGATCCTCCGGTGCGGCATCGGCGTCCGTCGAAACTGCGTCCCAGTAACTGCAGCTACCGCGTGGCCGCAAACTCCAGCAGATCTGTAACAAAAAGCGAGTTTCCTCATTAGTATTACAGCGACAAATGCGCCCCGCATGAAGAATACGAAGACTCGAGACTACAAATTAGCTTCTTCAACTTAACTTAATAAAAGTTTACCTTTAAAGACCATGAAACACTGCTATTGCTTAAGATGCTCCGGATTGTCACGTACACACACACACACGCACGAATATTACACATTATACGCGCGCGGCGATCCGCCGATCCGTCCACCGCCGCGGCGTAAACAATAATGGCAGCGGTCGCGGCAGTTGCGTACTTATGAACATGTTGTTTTTAAAATCGCGCGACCTTGTCCCGCCGGGACGCGTCTCAGAGAGCCCGTAACGTTGCATAAAATTTATCTTTTTGAACAAAAAGGTAAAAAGAGGCGCTAAGTACATGCGCAACACGTATTGTGTTATTTTTAGAAATTTCAAATTATTTTTTTTCAAGTTATATATGTAATATAAAATTTTACAAGTAAAATTTGTAACTATAATAAAATTCTACAACACTACTTTGCGAAAGAAATGATATAAACGGCAATGTTTACGCTTTTAGTACTGTGCATCGTACCGCATCTGAGCGTGTATCTTTGGGCAATATAATTTATTATTTTCGTTATACAAATAAAACTTATATCTCTAACAATAAATTTCTCTATTGAATACTATAAATAAAACTCTACAAAACTGTTCTACAAAAACAATGATATAACAAAACAATAGCATCGACTGAAAAACTCTACTCAACATCAACTCTGCAAATGAGAGCGATTTGCAACCTGAAGATAAATGTATCGAAAACTCTCAATGATACACAGTCCGGTACTTCAAAAACAGTGTCTTCATTATTTACTAGAACACTGAGTTTTATTTTACTTGTTATTATAATAAATTAGTTATCATAACAATTAGTTATCATAACTTTCTCTCGCTCTCGCTCTTTTTCTTTTTCTCGCACATTTCTACTCCTGTATTCTAGCAATATTTTTCTCTCTCTTACTCTCTATCGCTTACTCACTCGCACTCACTGCTTCTTCAGCGCGCTTGTAACGCTTCTGATGTCGGAAAAGTGAGATGCACAAATCCCCTCTCCTCTGCGGTCTAACATTTTTTACTTTCTTACTTTCTTACTGAATCGAAATTTTCCGTGATCTGGACTTTATTTTAAAATATCTACACTTAGAGACAACGTACACAAAAAACACAAGGACACTTTTCTTCCTATTTTTTAAGGCTGAATCGATTGGGACTGAAAAAACCTCGATCGGTTTAGCGGGATTGCCGAGATATGAATATCTCACCTCGTTTCAACTCACAGTTTCGCGTAATATAGGCACGGTGTGCCTTTTGATCTTTAGATTCCCCGCGGCGAGTTTTATTGCCAATATTCCCTTATGGGCCTCCCGATATGGTTCATATTTTTTTCTATTATTGCCGAGGATGTTTAGTGTTTTTCCAAAGCACCTTTTTCAATCTGCCGCGGCGCCAAGAACGAAGCAAGACGCATTTCGGAGGGTAAATTCGCTCGCACGATATCATAATGAGTGAGGGAAGCAGTCGGTTAACGTGCCCGACCTGATCTCGGTCGCGCTAGTTGTCAGGAGAGGCGGAAAAAGCAAAGACCACGCGGTGACAGGTTACGTCGGACGAGTCGAGAATGGCGGAAGTTTCGCCTCAATTGGGTGAACGACGTCGACGTTTTCGCGCGACGCCGGAAATCGAGAGAACGTAGCCCGATATCCTTCGTGTCCCTGTTCGATTTAACTTCGGGAGACAAAGTTGCTCACGTTGTTACGAAACTTTATCAGCGCCGCAACAATAATACTTTTATGTTAGCGGCGATAACTCCGTTAATTCCGGGCGACGCCGGAGTTCACGATAAGAGCGCGCTAAATCAAAACGCTCGTTTAGGACGAGATGCAGAGAGACATTCGTCTCTCTTTCTCTCTCCCCCTTCTTTTTTCATTTCTCTAATCTCGTCCCCCGGTGAATGACCTCGCGATATCGGCGGAATTTAATTTGCATCAATCTCTATCGCAGTCTATCTTGGTTGCAAAACGTTTCTCGTCGACACGAGAATTACGTCTGCTTACGTTTATTGCGTTACCGAGAGAATAACTTTGAGGCGAGAAATAAAATGTCTGTCCATCATCATTAGCACGGCTCATACGTGAACTTTTTATAAAAATATTTTCGGCTTGACGGCGGTAACCTACTCTCCGCTTCTAAAGTTTCTCAATCGTCCGTGCCCCGCGAGCTGCGGCATAAAGATCGATACACTGTTTGCTCTCCGAAAAAACTCAGCTCTCCAAAATCTCCGCGCAAATATACTTTCCGCCCCGTTGACTTTCAACTCCCCGACTCGCGTATCCGTTTATCCGCGGAGAACTCGAGCGCCGTGTGTGCGCCTCGCGACCGGATGTTGTTGCATGCAAGAATTAGTCGATCATGTTCGACGAGTTCAGCACGAGCCCACCTGATGAATCTTTCGTCGCGGACGTTATCTGACTGTAAGGCAAATTGCGTATTATGCGAGAGTGCAATTACGCGTGACTAATTACACAACGCCGTGCGCGCAGTTACAGGCAATTATATATAATACACATAATTGAATTGAATAATATATATTATACATAATTGAACACGATTGCGTATAATTGCGGCGAAATATGTCGAAAAATTCACACGCCGGATAATCGACTCACACGTATCGCGCAGCTGCGAAACTACAATCGTTCGGCAGAATTGTTTGCCGATACTTCTCCGGCCTCCTCTAAAGCTATTCTTTATTTCGTGCCCGGTAGAATAGAAATTGCGAAATATGTTAAATAAATAAATAAATATAGAACGCGTGCGCGCGAATATTTTTCTCGAGGCGCACAAAGCGGCCTTTCGAAAAATCACCGCGATTGGAAATGGCCGGAAAGGCAATGTTTTGCAAATGCGAAATGCAGAGTGATTTTTGCAGAGCGAAATTCCAGCCTCGATCGGCGCACACGGGTGAGCCGCGGCAAGTCTTACTTGCTTAGATATAGGGAGCGGCGATTTCGTGGTTCGTTTCGCGGCGGCCGCGCCTTTCGACGGCGGAACTTTCGGAGTCGCATGAAAGATTCAACGTGGCGAGGACAGCTTCCGCCCGCGACACTCAAGCCCCGTTGTGGTCTTTTTCTGCTGTTACAGACATGCGCTGGCTCGTTTGCACCTGCATCCTCACGGCGACGACGGTGCTCTGCTGCCGGCAGAGCGAGTTTCAGTGCGCCAACGGCCGCTGCGTCACCCTCAACAAAGTCTGCAACGCGTTCGACGACTGCGGGGACGGGAGCGACGAGACGCGTCCATGCTCGCGTGAGTGAAACTTTTGCCCGACCCGACGACTCCCGCATGCCCGCGCCCTTCCGCTTCCCGCGGCGCGTTTTACTCCGGCTATGGAACCTCAAGGGGCTTTCAGTGCGCCGATAAATGCATATCCACTTGACGAGCTAACGCAGTCGCGGCTAACCGCGACGAGGTGGGCGCGTGGAGGAGGGAGAGCGCGAGCGCGAACGCGGGCGTGAGGACAGACAGACCGGATCGTTCAGAAATGAAATCCGCCAGCGGAGGATTAAATCCTCGACTTCTCTACAATCTCGTTCTCTCTAATATCTGTCTCCCTCTTTCGAAAATACGCCGAGAATAATACGGCGGGCCACGGAGAGAGAGAGAGAGAGAGAGAGAGAGAGGGGGAGAGAGGGGGAGAGAGGGAGAGAGAGAGAGAGAGAGAGAGAGAGAGAGAGAGAGAGAGAGAGAGAGGAGAGAAGGCGGGAGATATAGTTAGATAAAAGCGTTTATTATCATTCTAGGGTTAACCCTCTAAGAAGGCTTGTAGCGAGAGGAAAAATTCCAGATTTCACCGAATAGACAAATAACAAAGAGGAAAGAAGGGAAAAAATACAATTATATCGCAACGGAGCGACTAGAAAAGAATATACAAATCTAGTGAAATTTGCAGGAAAAAGAAAGGGAGGGAGAGGGAAAGAGAGAATTTCAACGGCTGGGCGGCAGAGGGTGAGAACGAAAGCGCGTAGAGTTTGACGAGTTCTCTCTCCGCGGTTCGGATAAATAAAATTGCCGCGTAAAGCGCTTATATTGTTTCCTAATGCTTTTGTGCGCTTATATTGTTTCCTAATGACCACAGCGCTCGTGTCGGTGACCGCACAATGCAGTGGTGTGTTGATGCTTAACAATATATTTTCTCGCTCGTCCACGCAATCGCACTGTTTCTCCTCGCGTCGATCGAACGTGTTCCGCCATTTCGCCAAGTCGGTAACCCGCGAACGGTTTGCTCTCACGATTCTCCCCCCCTCCCCCCCTCCCCCCCGGTTGCCAGGACGCTCCGACTCTGGTAATAGATCCCTTCATTGTTCCTACTCGTCGGCAAAGCGACTCCGTGGAACGTGCCCGGGCCGATGTGCGATCGCCGGGCGAAGACCCACCGGCCGGCCAGGCGCGAGAATTTCCACTTCGTTAGAAGCGCCGACTTCCGCGCTTTCTCGCCGTTCGCACGAACGAGTCGCGGCGCGACTCCAAGTAACGTGCAAAGGCGGAATGAAATTCCAGCGACGTTAGGAGAGTGATATTGCGAGCGCGGCGGGGCGCGGGAGAGGAGAGGAGAGGAAGAAGACCAGGAAGGAAGGAAGGAACGGACGGAAGAAAGAAAGAAAGACACAGGCTCGAGCTTGCGAGCGACCGAAAACGGCTTCATTGAGAGTTTCGAGCGGAGCACGAGCGAGCGAGCGAGCGAGCGACATATTCGAGCGCGTTAAACCGTGAAATTGCGAACGTCACAAATAATACTGATATCGCTCTCGCGTGAGAGACGCGCATGTACGCGTGGAATCGAATGTAATTATTACGCGAAAGCTTAACGCTAACAACGGGAATGACCGAATAAAAGATTAAAGTTGCGCTTTCACACGTGAAAACATAAAAGCCTCTTTACAGAAAATTGTAGAAAAAATTGTAGAACTGTAGGAAAAAAATAGTTTATTCATAGCTCCGTAATGCTTGCGCGAAGCGACGTTTACTTCGGTAATTTAACATCACTCGTTTTGCGAACGTTCTCGCGGTGGAAATTGCCCCGCGCGAGCAAAATCACAGCCCATTTAACGCGAGTCGCTATAGTGCGCGAATGTTGTCCTTTTTTTCTCTTCTCCTCTCTCTCGACGGCAGCGAGAACGCTTCGTATCGCGACGATCTCGCGCGACTGATGATCGACGGGGCAACGGCGATGCGGAGGAGTCCGAAATAGATCGCGTTTGTTCAAATTAATGACGACGAAAGAATGTTTCGCGCGAAGATGCGATCTCTCCATCGTCGCGTGTGAGTCCGAAACTAGGTAAAAAAAGGTAAGCGAAACGAAATCTGACAAAACTCGGAAACCAAAAACGAAACGAAAAATGCGCGAGTCGTCGATGGAAATAAATCAGGGCCGAGCGAAATGTTTCAACTGTCACCGCGCGGCGCGCGATGTTCCGCGCATCGAGACGAATTGACCGCAGCGGACCGAAGACCGCGAAGGGCGGTTCGCAGCAGCGATATTCGTGTTTGCAGATATTTCACGACGGTTGCGTGCGCAGACATTAAGTCCAGGCTTCATGTTAAACGATTTCGCGTTATATCCGGCGCTGGCCCGACCCTATCGACCGCCAGCGCTCGCTCGCGCGAGACGCGTAACCAAGTGCGTGCGGGAGGCTTAGGGTGAAATCCACGGGATTAGCGGTACTGCCAATTTGCGAAAAAAATTGCTTGACGCGGCGGTTTATCGTCGCGGTAACGGAAAAATCGATCGCGCTCCCGCAGCGGCGGCGGCGAACGCAGCGCAGCAGCCACTTCATTTCGCGAGAATCTACGACGTGCCCGACGAGATGATCCCATACGTAAGAGACAAGGGACGCACCCCTTAGTCAGACTGCCTGTTATCGACAGATCGTGATAAAATAGAGCAGTTCGAGCGGGCGATTCGTCGGAAAAAAAGTGCCCTCGCCCTCGCCCTGGCCCTGGCCGTCGGTGTCGTCGTCGTCGTCGTCGTCGTCGCCGTCGTCATCCCTCGCGCGCTCACCCGCCCGCGCGCACGTACGTGTCCACCTCTTCCACGGCGTCATCTAATTTCGCGCGATTTATTTTCCCGCCCTGTCACATCCATTCAACGATGCCAAGCGCCATGAGCGTCGCGCGCGCGGCGGGTCGAATTTGCGATCTCGACGTTTCGCGATAACTCAGATATACGCAGACAGGCGAACGTAGCTCGCGACCGGCCACCCGAAATAAGTCGCTCTAAAGGAGATACGCCATTTCCAAACCGCCTCACGAACGTCCAAGTGCCTCGCGTCTCAATCGACCCGACTCAAACAGCAGAACGCGTTCCGCTGTCAATCTAAAATAATTGCGAATGCATCGAAGGAAAGTTCCAAAGTCTCGAAGGCGCCGCGACGCTGACGAATTCCTCAAGCATTCGCTGCGCGATTAAATTACCATCCACCCCCCATCGACGTGACGTAATTTACTCCAAGTCGTGCGTACGGGACTCATCCGGCTGTCAGTCGCGACTTAAGCGCGCCAGCCCGACGAGAAGAAGGTTCCTCAACAGGGCAAATCCTTCGCGAGCGATGGGCTTTCCACCCCTAAGAAGTCCAGAACGGCCGGGTCCTCCTCTCGCTACATGCGCGAGCGCGACCGACGAGACTCGTCAAGATACACGATGGTCGTTTCCATGGTTGCTAGAATTTACCGAATACCCCGACGAGACCATCAGCGATGTCGTAGTCGTTTAATCTGCCAGGGGTTTTCGCCTCACCCGGCGCGTGCACGAGCAGGGACCGGCTGTGGCTCCCCTGCCCTCCTCGACTCTTCGTCGTCCTGCGCTTCTACCCCGGCCTCCCGCCCCCCTCCCCTCTGTCTTTAGCCTCGCCGGCTACAACGAGCAAAAGCGAGCGACCAACCGACCCGGCACCAAAGCCCACCCCGACGTGTGTGCTTGGCGTAATTAACCCAAGCTGCGAGATACGTTTATACATGGCGCGCGTACACACGGCGCGGCGCGACGCGATGCCAGGAAATTACTTCTGGCAGCGTGGACACCCCTTTATCCGTGCGAACGACAATGGACTTTTTATCGCGGACACGGAATGGAAATGTTTCTGATTTCGCTCGCGCCGCTGAACCCCTCGAAACGCCTCGTTGATCGAGATTAGAGGCTCGCACCAGCCCCGCCGTGCGAGACTAGCGAGTAATCGCGAGGACAAATTGAGGCGTGGGAGAGCGGGAGAGAAGGGGGAGGGGGAGAAAGAGAGCGTGGAAGAATTGGCTCGTCCGAGCTGAAATATTAATCACTCGCGCGGAAAAGTTCCTCTTGTCGAGCTAACATTATTCCTCGGTGCGACGACCGCCGCGCTGATTTCCAATGATTACTTCAAAGCCCGGCCGAGATCTGAGGGTTCGGAGACACGGTGAGTGAATGCTGCAAGCTCATGAAGCTCACGTCCGTTTGATCGTGCCATTGGCTATTGCCTTTGTCTTATGTGTGGCTCGATGAGATGCGGCGGTAACGCAGTCGCATGTCGGTCACCGACGATTCTCATCGAGTCTCATTAAGTCGCGTGTTAAGTCTGATTAAATGCATTCGAGGTACTGACTGTGCGGCCAACAGCGAGCTGATGGGACGAGACGGAAGACGTGTACGCCACTCATTACATTTTTGATAAAAGATAAATCGTCAGCTTTCGCGCGATCAAAGGAAGTGAACGTGACGGTCGATGCGTTAATAAACGATATATATCGCGCGGACGATACGATATTTTTTGCATGAGAAACGAGAGGCGGAGTGCTCGAGCACGTAGGACTACGTGCTGCTTTTCTGCGGTTCTTACATTGCGATACACACGATATAGACGAGTATCGTCGTAAGACGATTTGAAAAGACCGAGGGGGTGCGATAGCTCTCCGTCGCGCAGCGGATAATAGATCTTATAGCTCGCTCGCTTTAATTGACGTGTATGCGGTAACATTATGCACCGTCGCTGCGGCCGGGTGTCTTGTAAACAACTTATAAAGACACCATTAGCCCGCGCAGCGAGTAATTAACCTAAATTACGACCTGCGCCCTAAGAACCGGGCGCAATACATAAATGCGCTCGTCGACGTAAGAGCGTTCGACTGCAAGAAGCGAATTCTCTGGCTGACAAAGTATATATATATATATATATATATACATGCACATACACGAGGAGGTGGCCTGATTAGGTTGACACTTTTGGTTTGTATGTGTCAGCGGAAATGAAAACGTCCACAGTACGTCACTCCCATAGTTCGTTATTGCCCTGAAACCTTCATACCTCTCCGCTACATGCATACGTATGTGTGCACAGCATGAATGTTTAACTTCTCAAACGTTCAAAAATCTAGCGCTTCTACCTGAGGTATAATCGTCTTTCAACCTCGCAGTTTAGTGGCCGATAAAACGTTCCTAGAAATCAGCCTGCAAGCACGATTCGCTCAGTCATGTCTTCTCTGGCCGCCGGCTCTCTTGCGAGAACAAAACGTTTCCAAACATTTGGGAAATTACGAATTCATGCTATGCACACGTGCAACCACATCGTATAACCTCCATCCGCGCGTGATACACCTTGGGCAATGTTATAATACCGCTGGTATTTAAAGTTTGAATACTTAAACTTTGAAGACTCATAACTTAAGAAGTTATCATCGCGGGGGAGTTTGGAACGGGCATTTCGAAAACGCCGTAACTTCGACTACAAGATTATAGAATGAAAAATGGAGATTTCTGAGATTCTGTTTAAGAAAGAAACTGAAGGAAATCTTCATGTAGTCTTCCAACGACTATCCGGAGTCGAGTTAACACTACCGTCTCTCTCTCTCTCTCTCTCTCTCCCCCTCGAAACTACAATATTTTTCTACGAAACATTTTCTGCTGGAAGCAGCCGTGGTTCCCGAGAAATTTCAATGCGTCGTTTAAAACCCTGGCCACCCTGTATATATGTGTACATGTATATATATGCCGGCTCATTGCACGGGGTTAAGAAATATTATTACCCGCAGCGTAACACACCAAGCTCCCGGCTCGTTCGGTCGAGTAACCATTCCGCCGGAGGATAACGGAGGTAAGGTCGTACGTCCGCAGAACACGTGACGAGTTATCACCCGGCCGTGCCAAGGCACAAGGCGCGACATATTCCAGTCACGTATATCCATAAAGTACGAATACGTAAAAAGTCGGCGAGCTCCGTCGCGTGACGTCAAAGTCGACCATAGGTCGAAGGCGTACAGGCGATATTTGAAATCGTATACATTCAGGCATACATTCAAAACTGTTACACCTTGCGACGTAAACATCATTTTATTCGCTGGGGTCACAACGCGTGACGCAGCCGGTAACAAAAAGTAATACATCGGGCACGCGTGTGAGCGCGACGTACACAATGCACGTGATAAGTTTGCGCACGTCGCGCACTTCGGACAATAATCGGAGGCTCGACTGAGTCGACGTCGATTTTCAACTTCGATCTAAGTTACGCAACATAACATAATTTGATAGTGATATTCGACACACAATGGAGCGCATAATTCGCACGCGGTATACTCGGGGCGGGCAATAAAGAAGAAATTATTCTCAGGACTCTTCGCCGCTTCCCTGAGAATCTTCCGAACGATATTATCGATTAAAGTTCTCTCTCGCGCGCGATACGGGAAACGTAGGTTCGACGATTGCGCCGTTAAGTGTCCCATTTATCTTCCTCGTGCCTCAATGCGAAACTTTTGAAATAAAATAGCTTGATAGTCGGCCTCGCCGCGTTACATTGACTTATAAAACGACACAATTTCTCTCTCTCTCTCTCTCTCTCTCTTTTTCTTCCCCCCCCTCTCTCCCTCTCTTTCTCTTTCACTCTACTCTTTCTTGACTAGGAGGCTCTCGGCTTCTCGTGGGAAGCCTGGCTCGCCAAAGTTACGACAGGTAATAACAAACTTTCGTATTCTTCTTACTTGCGACGCAAATGAAACGCTCGAGCAGGCGCGGGTTAATTTATATCAATTACACCGACTGATGTGATTAAACCCGAAGAGGGGAGCAAAGAGATGGATTAAGAAGTTATCCCTCATATCGCGTGCTCGATATATCCCCTTCTCTCTCTTTTCTTTTCTACCAATTACCTCGGGAAAAGAGACTGACAACGCGTCCGTCTCTAAGCTGGCAATTTCGCTTCTGGTAATTCCTTTCTCTCTCTCTCTCTCTCTCTCTCTCTCTCTCTCTTTCTCTCTCGTTGTTCAATAGGGTGACGTTTGCACAGAGAGAAACCGTTCCTCAAACATTCAGGCACGAGTAAGAAACGAATTTGACAACTGATATCGCGATTAATTTGAAAAGAAAGAAAAAAACATGTAATGCTACGTGAGAGACGTGTCACGCCCGTTTTGCCTCTCGTTTGCGGCCGAAGTTCGAAGTCAACCAGGTTCAGCCAGGATAAAACAAAATTCCCTTGCGTGTCGAGGCAACGGCCCGAACGGAAGGCTAATAAGAATTCTTTAATGTAATTAAAAAGCTCGTAAAGCACCGCGGGCTATTATCGTCCATTAGGTTATAATCACAGCGGGATTGCACACAAGTCACAATGTCTCGCTCAGAGCGAGTGAGCGAGCGAGCGAGTGGGTGAAAAGTAGGTTTTTAACGGACCTGTTTTTATTAAAGCTGAGTGCCCCGCCCTCTCTATCCGCCACGAGGAGAGTGCAAGAGATCTCTCTTCCTTTCTATCTTTTCTGTCTTACGGCTCCTCCTCCTCCTCCTTCTCCTCCTCCTCCTCCTCCTCCTCCTCCTCCTCCTCTCCCTTCTCCCTTTCCTCCTTCGGGCTTGTTTCTCGCGCGGCGGAAGTAAGCGGCTTTAACTCGCGCTCGGTGCTCGACGCTCGACTCTCTCCGAGCGAAATTGCGGCGGCCAAAATTGCGGGTCTCGGTGCGCGCATAAAGGAGACCGAAACTCACGACGGCGGCGGGTACATAATCGCGACTCGGTGAGCAGGCATTTATTTAATACATGCCGCGAAGTTGTCGCAGTTGATACGCGCCGCGGATGCGCCCGCTTATAGGATCGCGTATTAGCCGTTTAACCTCTCACAAGAGTCCAAAATTACTTTGGAACTACCGGCGGGGACATTGTTAGCTCCGCGGCTGCATAAACATGATCCGCTTTTTCGCTCGTGTAATAGCGCGAGCCGATCTTAAACGATGTCTCGAGTGACTCGACGAAGGAAAGTTCGACCGACCACTTTCGCGATTGTATTATCTTAATACCTCTCCTTGCTTGTCTATTCTTATATATATATATATATATATATAAGAATATACAAGCAAGGAGAGGTATTAAGATAATACAATAGATATATATATATATATATATATATATATACACGCCATTTTAATAGAAATAATATAGGTCGTAGTGTACCTTGATTGACGTGTGTTATGTAGAACATTGTAATATCATCGTTGATCGCGAGAACTAAACGAGAGATCCTCCTTTTGTTCCCTTAAAACAAAAAGTTGCCTTTCGCCTTCTTTATAAAGTCATTAAACTGGAATACTGAAAACAAGAGATCAAGAATTGAAATCCCAAAGACGAGGAATAATCGAAGTAAAAGATTCAAGACAAGAGAGTTTCATTACATGGTAGATTGTCGTCGCGTTGATTTTTATCCTCCTTTTGCAAAGGCTTCGCAGGTGCAGGAGCGGTCGATGCTTCTTTCTCGAAATGTACAGACGACATGTTGGAGACCGGTGATAATCGATAATTGCACAGTGACCCTTCGTATAATGAACCCGCTGCACCTAAAATACATAACAGAATTTGTCGACAAACAAATTTCTCTCTTCAATTTTGTGCGGACATTAACGATTATATCGGACAGATATTAATGTGCGATTATGTCAGATATGTTAGACATTTGCACTTATACAAATGTAACACGAAAAAGAAAAGTTTCTGATCAAATATCTCGAAGGGTGAACTCTTTTTGAAGGCCGATTACGAAAGGAACAGATTAAAAAGTGAGAGATTAGGAAAGTTGAGGGCAGAGATTAAAGGAGAAGTAAATTAAATTCAACTGAAAGTTGAAAAAAGTAGAATCGGTCGTCCTCTACGTATACACAGCCATCAGTCTTTTCTGACACGCAATAAGAAAAGCGATCAATTCGTGTTAGAATTACAACCTTTCGCGAAATCCTGATCGATGGAGCTTATGTTGCTCTCGCAGTACTCGTAATGCGACGGCGATAGTATACTGCTCGCTGCGATGCTCGGCCGACGAACGGCTGGCTTCGGCAGCAAGGTCATGTTGTAGCGCACCGTTTCTATTTTCCTAATCTTCGGGGCCGACGGGGACTTGTGCGACTCTGCATCGTCGTCCTCGCGGACGACGGCCGAGGACCGAGGGACGTTTATCCTATTGCCACTACTTCCCTTACTGTCTTCGCTTTGAAGTCGCATTCTTTTCGTTTCAATCTCGTTCTGTGTACTCTCGCCAGCGCTATGCTTCAGCAGGTTCCTCTTTGTACGGGGGCTCTCCTGCATTCTCGCAGGCTCCTGCGACCGGCGTGTCTCCTCTCGATGAGTCTCTTTCATTTCTGCGTCATTGTTCGCTGAAGTCGTTCTTTCAGCCGTGTCCACCTCGACAACCGGCGCTATCGAAGCTTCGTACGTATCCGTGTTTTCGAGAACGGCAGGAGTCCTCGGATTAGGATCTTCTTTCGCCTGGACGGCGACGTGTTTAGGAGCCATGTCCTGCATCGGCTCTGCGTCTATCATCTCAGGCGACATTATGGTGGTCTCATTCACGCACAGTGCCTCCAGGACCATGGTATTGATGGACACGGTATCTGAAAATCGAAACATAACATGTGCGAGTTGAGTGTTCTGTGTTCTGCGTGTAGACGATACAAACTGTACAAAGTGGCGTTCACACCGTCGAAAGTCTCGGTAGCTTGCATCCATTGGTGCTGATCTCGCGGGTGCGGCTGAGCTTGTGCGTACATTTGCCGGTATGGTATGTTGATTTTCGGTGGCGCCATTTCCAACATCTTCTGTTTGCGCAGCCTCTTCCGATCCTCCAGTCTCTTGCGTTGCGCTTGCACCTGCGAGAAGCATCGAAGAACCGCGTCAGTCGCGACTTTAGGATTTAAGAATAGAAAGATCAGCTCGATCGACCGGATACCTCCATCTCGAGCGACCGCAGCTCCCGTTTACGGCGATCCATGTTCATCTTCAACCTCGTTAGCTTTCCCTCAAATTTCAATCGTTCCGTCATGACGTGGCTGAACTCGATTATCTCGCAGCGTATACGGATCCAATCGATGCGTTGCCTCTGCCTGATAATCGTCAGCATCTCCGTTTTCTTGTAAGTCACGACCATGGTAGCGATTTGGAGCTTCCTCAGTTGGATCTTGGCCGCGTTTCTCGCCTTCGCCAGCGGGAATTCCTCGTACATAGTCTGTCTCGTACATACGCTCTGCCGGTTATTTCGTTGAATATCGAGAAGTACGAATGCATGATATATCGATACTGACGTGATAAGCGCTACACGTGTTCTTGTACTCCACGACGATGTCCCGATACTCCTGCGTTTTCAGCTCCATCAATTTGTACTGATCGTCGATATTCGCTTTCATAGCTTCCAGTCTGTCTGTGGTTTCGCCGTTGCTTATGCGTAATCTGCATGAGACGACGAAATTCCAATATACGTGTCAGAGAGGGAATCCGACACGAAGAGAGACGTATTATAAGAAACGAAGTAGACGATGATTTCAGACGATGAAACATACCTTATTAAAGTCTCGCTCAATCTTTGCCTGATCTTGTGCATGTGCAGCACCTTCTCCTTTAGCTTCTTCCTCCTGACGATCTCGCTGCGCATCTTCGCCTTCATTTTTAATATCGTCGCTGTATTTGCTAGAAATCGCCAGTTTTACCGGTAAACTACGGCGAACGAGCGCCGTTTAACGTTCGATTGTTAACAACGAGGTTAGGTTACGAGTGCGAACGACACACATCGCGTCGCGGCGTACGTGAAGAGGTTAGTTTGGCTGGCTCGTTACAAAGTACACACGAGGTGCGTAGGAGGTATTTCGCGGTGTATTGCGACGGTGGATATTTGTATTACTGTTACCTGCTTCGCGGTAAAACGCGTTTATAGCCGCTTCAAGTTTCCCTTACGTATGAAAATTTCATTCCCTCCGCGTTCTACGTTACATTATAGCGCACAGTGGCGGCGCGCTTCGCTTTACCTTGGAGCTTCTCCCTGCACGCCACAATTTCCATCTTCAAACAAGTCTCCAGTACTTTCGCGAATTGAGGATCATCGTAATGCACTTGACTGTTCGTATCCATCGTCTCTTCCTGCGGAATATCGTCAGGATGTTGCGGCCACACGAGTATACTTCCTTCTCGCACCGACGCCATTACCGGTCTGAAGTTTCCGGCGATCGAGCGGATCGTCGCTCGCGCGCGATCATTGGACGAGGGCTTCAAACACGCCACTGTGGCGCCTTGAAAGTGGAGAAAGACCAGACGAGCAACGCACTTCGTTCCAAGGAATGTTCTATAATTGGTTTTTTTGAACGCTGGACAACAAAAACCGCGATTAGTCGCTTAGAGCTCCGTCGCTTTACTACTACGATATGCCGAAAGTTGGTTGTTCAGTCGTTTCGCTGTTGACTGCCATTCGCGCCACTTTCAGCGACTAACTTCCCGCGGAACTCGCGAGTTACCATGTGAACATAAGCGCAACCGCTTTTAGGGGCTCGGGATAAAAGCGACAGGATTGTATGTTTCTCCCGCGAGTTTTTCATGCCGCAAAGATTCCGCACACTTTCGGCGGTCACGTCGATCTGCTTTCGTGCGAAAGTTCGATTGTTTTCGCCGGACGCTCGTGTCGCCGGAACTCGGAGCTTTCGAGTTTGTTAAACGACGGAGCCGGGCCTCTGCATTCCGTATATCTATATATCTCCGCGATACACCTCAGCGCACGAATACGTCTATGGATCGCGCGCGAGAAGGAACGTAGTTACGAGTGCGGAGCGAAGATAGCGAACGGAGCGAAATATATGGCCGAATTGATCGTAAATCTCGAGGAGTTTCGTCCAGCGCGATACACGCGTACGATATGTAATACCTGCCTGGTTACTCGTAACATTTTTTGCGGCAGGGTGAGTCAGCCCGCGCAGTTACCGAGAAAATGTAAGAGTCCGGGAGCAATATTCGTCGTGAGTAATACGCGTCGTGCGATGTAAAACGAAATACGGCAGGAAAATCAGGTTAGTGAAATCAGCTCGGAAAATCGGATTAGCGATAATTAAAATCTCGGGATTTATCCGCTTCAAAGGAAACGACCTGTCGTCTTCTTTTTTCGTTATCAACGAGAGAGAGAGAGAGAGAGAGAGAGAGAGAGAGAGTCTAACAAGAGCTGTCGCAGAATTTTAGCCGCGACGACCGAAAGTTATAATAATTTTACTTACTAATACTGAAAGTGCCGACGATTGACATGACCCATTTTTCTACCGGAGCGACATTTCTGTCGAAATGATAAAAAGCTTTTGGAGAAAAAATGCGTCGCGCACACGCTCGGGCAAAAATGTTTGTTCATTTCTTTTAGCTTTATTCAACGACCATTAAAAAAATAAAAGATACTCTGTTATATAAATTTGAATAACCTTTATGAAAAGTCTCAAATCATATTTTTCATGTGATAATTTCAACGTAAATAGTAAAGGGGATGGAAGTACACTAGGAAAAAATATTTAGTATCTCTAATAAAACTGTTTAGTTGAGGGATTTTTTAATAGCAACCAAATATCTTGTTTTATATAACAAAATGTTTAATTGTCTCAACTAAATATATTTTTCTGCTTTGTTCTCTGGATCAAATGATTTTGTTCTTAGACCTCATATATAAAAATTAAGCATTTTAATTATTTTATCCAGAAAAATTGCATAATAACGAAATATTATTTTACATAAACTAAAATAATGCCCAATGATATTATACTATCTTGATACTATTTTGTCTTTCTGCGCACTAAAATTTAGATTTTATATATTAAGAAAAAATTATAGTAAAATTATAGTAAAATTATAGTAAAATTATAGTAAAATTATAGTATTTTTAGCAAAATTCATATAGTTAAAGCTTTTTGGTTGCCATAACAAAAAGTATTACGTTATACGAACAAACCGTAATCAAACGAGATATTTGTTTACAGGAACTAGACAGTTTTGTTGGGCATATTTTAACCAAATTATTTTGTTGTTACAACAAAATTTTGGTTCACGCAACAATACATTTTTCTTAGTGTAGAGATCGAATATCAATGAAAACTTTTCTCTTACACCTTCGAGGAACAATCTTTAAATCAATCGCGCCATCATCCCGATCCCTTCGCGACAGATCAGCAGCAGGCGGAACCGGCCGCGCGAGTTAATGGAAACGCGTGACAGCCGATTAACTTATCGGCCCCAAAAATCGATGTCGGCGCGCTGTATTTGGCCGGGGCGCGCGATTCGGCTCGCTGGAAAAATATAAGTAAAGATCCAAGCCGGGACGCGCCGCGCTCGTGGACGCCGGAAGGACGCGCGGGGAACACGGCACGTTGGCCGCCGGCCAACCAGTTCGCATTTGGGTCAAACTGACCCGCTGCCGTCCTCCGAGAGCATCCAGCGAACCAGCTCCCGGCTCCACCGCCGCCACTCGCGGGGGTGAGGATGGCTGCGGAAACTGTTCCCTCTTCCACAACACTGACGTGCCCCCGTAATCGGTGTGCTCACCGCTTTTACGTGCCCGGGCCGGGCGGGCGCGTAAAACTCTCCCCCGTAGAGTCGTAAGTAGAGACTTGTAAATGTGTCCGAAGAGCGGCGACGACGGGGCGTGAATAATACAGCAGTTCGGAAAGTTGAAATCAACATTTGTTAAGTACGCCGAGATTCGTCAAATTTTTCGCAAATTTGCCAAGATTCGCCAAATTTGAATCGAGCCACGCGAGACGAACCGCGAGGAAGGGAGCGGTCTCGGCATTCGGAGAAACAACCCTCATCACGTCTGAAAATGGGCGTTCCCGTCGGGTAAGAATTCGCGGCGGGTTTGCGTGAACGGAATTCAGGAATCTCTGAGAGTCCGACTGGTCGTAGAGCGCCTCGTAGAGAGAAGTGAGAACTGATATATAATTTCAGACAATTTCAGATACATCAGGAGTCGTTAAAGCTCGCGGCATAATTTATAGCGCGATCATTTCGCCGGTAGCTTCTCCAGTCTCCTTTGAGACTAATGGAAATCAGACCGTGGGGAGAGCGTGAGCGGAGGCCATAAAGAACAGGCAGTCCATGCCGCGCCCATGAATGCCCGAGGTTATCAATGCTCCGTAAAATGGGTTATCATCGGGTCGCGGTAACGTCTCCCGTCAGGCGATATTTCTGTTATTGTTGCGTCCCGACGCCACGGGAATTGTATATTTTCTCTCTCATTTTCCCTCCACGAGCGTGTGAAATCGCGCGGACGAGCGCGAACAAACGTGCTCGAGGATTCGTGCGAAAGGATCACCGATGGCGACGAGCGTGAGATCAGCGAGCACGCGCGCTTCAACGTCGCACTGATACTTATAAATATGCAGACAACCCCTTTGTTGTATAGCGTGCTTCACACACGGTGTGTATGTGTGTGTGTGTGTGTGTGTGTGTGCGCGTGCGCGAAGGCGAAATGTTCTCACGGGAATATTTCGATTTCTGAGGCGCGTGGCACGGCGCCCCGTTACTAACAATTCGCTCTGACGCATTAGCACCGATCGATCCTCGCGAATCGGTTTCCTTGGGCAAGCATTTTGCTGTGGAAACGCGCGAGAGATTTATTCGCGACGCAGGCGGCCACGTACGATAACAAAATATCAGGATTATGAATCTTTCATGGACGGCGATGCGCCGACGAAATTGAAACGGAACCGAAGTGCGACGGTTACAATAAAAGAGATAATAAAAGTCGAAAAGGTGAGGAGAGAGAGAGAGGGGGGAGGGGGAGAGAGGGGGGAGAGAGAGGGGGAGAGAGAGAGAGAGAGAGAGTACAGCGGCAGCGACACGGATGGTATCCTCCCACAGCTGCGCCAATAATTGATCGCGCTAGGAAACGTAGACGAATGTTTATTGGTATTGCTCGGGAACGTAGAATAAATATGCGCACGTATTTACAGGTTTCCATCGAATTTTGCTCCTCCGTGAGCGGAAGATACACCTATATACGAAAGAGAACGTACTCGTGTAATGCGCTGACAATCATCTGCCAGGAAAAAAATATGTTACCGCTGCGAATTCAGTGATAAAAACAAGATGTCGGCACAGCGATTACGGTGCGAATGTACGTCTCCGAAGAATTCAACGTTAATTTCGTCATCGATGAAAATCCGAATTAATTCGACCGAAGGACGCGCAGAGAGGAAATGTTGCCGGGGATTGCTCGCAGCCGCATTATCGGCTCGCGTTCGCTTGCAATTTTACTTTTCGGCTCTCTAATATCCAAGAGTCGAGTTCTCCACCACTTTAAACCACTGCTCGACGGTGAAACCGCTTCTGTCGTTCGTGCGGAGTAACGAGTAATTTCTGTTATACGGGGAGACCCTTTAGGGCGAGCACATACGCGAGAACAACATAGATAGATTTTATAAATGGAAGGAAGTTTCAATGGGATAGGAACGCGCGATAAAAGGGCCGTGAAACTTCATAGAACGAAAACGGGAAAGTAGGTCTCCTGGAAACCACTGATTAATCTTACGAAGTACCTCTTTCATGCCCCGCCGAAAATGTTTTTACTCTTGGCAAAAATGGCCAAGCCAAGCGTCTGTAATTTGTTTTGTTGGCGAAAAAATCCGCCCGCAATCAAGACAATCGTTAAAGTAAATAGACGATCGACGTGTCGTCCGAGTCGTAATATACATTTGTTTCCTTTCTCTCGGTCTCTGCCTTAGAGATAATTTTTATACCGTTGAGAGAATTTATGCGCATGGAACAGAAATATCGCGTGCATATTTAACGGCGAAAGAATAAAGAGATATAAAATTGCACAAGAGGAAAAAATCCATTGTTGAAAAAATTAATTAATTATCACATATTTGTTTTATACAATTTTGTCGTATTATATTACAATTAATTATGTCCGAAAAATATTACAGGCTCATCTTTTTCGCGAAATTTTGAACGAAAGATAAATAATAAAATTATATGCAACTGCAACAAAATTAATCAGTCAAATATCATTTCCGAATATCACGCCGAAAAATCCACTGAAAATATAGGGACAATTATTACCGTGGCAAAATCACTGCTGGACATTTCACGAAGTGGGAAACGCGCAATAATTGTAGGAACGAACATTGCCGAAACCGCGGCAGGCGTATTGATCAAGCACGTAGGGAAACCCCAATAACTGTCAAGTATCCGAACGATCCTTAGAACAGTAACACCGCGATAATGAGGTAAGCGGTTCACTTAATAAATCAAGGAAACCGCCGACAAACACGTCGATCGTCAAAGTACACAGTACGAAGTACTGTTCGTTGCAGCCGTTAACGATCTTACTGTCGGTTTATCGACAGCCCGAATTTGGCGCAAGGCAGAGAGCCCATAATCTCGCCCGGTGATGTATTAATCGTGATTAATTAAATGATTGTTGGGAGGATCAATATTTACGTACATATTTTCATGCTAACAACGTATCACGCAAACCGATTACATTGTTATTCCATGGCTTAGTACAGGATATGTTAC